GATATTCCAAAGATGACTTCATGGATAATAAAATATGATTAACGATTAAATTTTAGCAATAAATTTGTTAATACATTAAAACGGTACACTATCTTATGTTAAGCTCTGATAAATGATTATAAATATATAAACAAAATATTCACAATTCACTGGACTTCTTTTCACCTCGAAAATTAATAAACATGTTCGTTTACCTAAATTAGATTCGACTTTTGTTGAATTGGCAAACGAACAAAATATATTGTCACCCAAAATAGAGATTCATTTATCTAGTCTTAAAATATGACCACCTGTTTAAAAGACTAAACAATTGGATTACTATCCATTTTCATTTAATCAGTTTTGAGTAATGATATAACATCCATGACTGCAGGCTTTCTTTAATATCAGTTATAATTTGTCTAATTCACTTAATTTATTTTCATCTAATTCATCAAGCGATAGTTGTATTAGTCTTCAGAATTGTAATTTTAACATTCTTAATAATCTCGCAAAATTTCCTCACATTCTGTGTTAATGGTAATCAGTTTGAAGTGTTTTTTCCTAAAATTTATCCTAAATTCTTTAATCTCCTTTTTAAAGCAAGTTATAGATTAATGTTTTTAAAGAAATTAAAATTAAATGCAGTCTTTGCACAGAATAATCTCCATCCCTGGTTTTAGTATTGATTGTCAGCTTTGGAATCACTGATGACATTACTAACTTTTATGAGTTCCCAAAGCAATATAATGTAAATATTCAGGTTACTCATAATGCATTTTCATGTGAATTCGGTTGAACGCTAAAACCTAACCCAGCTATTATGTTGAATATGTTATATATATATATATATATATATATATATATATATATATATATATATATATATATATATATATATATATATATATATCACGCTTATTACAAGCATATTAATCATTGGGTTGATGTATGTTTGGCTTCCTTATCGTGTATAGTCTCCTACTTGTGTCAAAACCATATGTGACCTCAAACATTATAAACTGTTTTCATACATTTTTCACAAATATTTAGCTGGTTTAAACGGGTTTACAGCATGATAATTATGCACTGCTCAATTTTATACTTTCATAATTTGTAAATCACTCAGTGTGATTTTTTGAAGTGGAATTATTTCTCTTACGGACTGCTGAGTTTTAAACGGTTACATTGGAGTTACACAATATATTGGTATCTAGAAAACCTAACATTCAAGTTAACGATCACCAAATTCATGAAGGTTTTGGGATATCATCATGTTAACTAATTGTCAATTTTAATCCCTACCGGTAATTAAATGTTTAAACATTAGTCCTAAGCCTGTGTATGGGTTGTCGAAATCGAGATGTTTACCTGTACACCAGTGAGATAAGGATCAAAGTGTTTCAGTACACGCTACTATAAAATAATATGTATCATAACCTGATTTTTCTGGGGTTGATTATTTCAAAAATATGACTTACTTCATGTTATGTATTAGTGAGTTTATTTGCCTGGATTTGAAGGAAACTCACATTTATTATTTAGTGAATATTAATTGATAAGTGGTGCAAGCAGTACGAGATATCTTAATAGGATCAAATTAAACTCACTACAGTTTTGGTGATAAAAACATTAAAACCATGTTCTATGAGAAGTTTGATATTTTCAAAATCGTAAACAGCATATAATCGCAACATCTTACAAACATTTAATTACCCAATCGAATGTACAGTTTTTATTTAGTAAGGTTACTTTATTGTTTTGCCTATGTACTATGTGTGTATATAAATTAAATAATGTTCAATTGCATTTTGTGTGACATTTCATAAGCTACAGTTTTTGCTTGACAGTATTTCATTTTTGGATCTATATGATTTTATAGAAATTCTGAAACAACAAAATCCTTTGATTGGATTGCGATACTACAGCTATCACCAGTTACCTCAAAATCGCAGGAAAAAATCAATGAATATTAAACAGCATGTAACCTAATTCCAGGGATTACCGGCAATTAAATTCGACGAGTGGATATCAGTTAAGAGTACATCATAATGTTAGGTCGGTAACATTAATGGTCATATTCCAAATTCTTTTATGATTATTATGAAATTAAAATGTTAACGATTATTACCAAGTGATCAATTAAAGTAAAGCTCGAAATTCCGTCACACTCTCATGATATGATAACCAACAAGAATTGATCATAGAATGTCTCCATGATGTGGCTATTCTTCTCCATTCATACTTTCAGTTTCGGCATGTCAAAAGAATAAACTACTGCTCAACTGAGAAATCCGTTCAAAAACCAGCTCTTACAGCAATACAAAGTAGTAACTTAAATTTAGAATACCTAGAAACAACATCGTGGGCATGTTGAAGTACTATAAGTGAACCTACAATTTAAAGATGACTTGGGGACTAACGTTCTATTGAAAGAAATTTTAAACTTATTTCGCAGAACATTTTCTACATTAAAGCTGAGAATTTTGTTCAACGGATATTCATTTTAATGGAAACCATAGGATATTCCTTTTCATATGCACATGTCAATTAATCTGTTTAGTTTAATTTCATGGATAATAGTCTTTCGATGTGAATTATGTGAGACAGTGTTAAATAGTATTTTACTAGAGAAGAGATGATGAAAGGTCTATGAGAAGTGTTCTGATTGAACTCCTTAACGTTTTACGATACTGATCCATTAAGAATCCTCTGTACAAAGTTTCCCCATACATTTGTTGTCGATTAATCGAGTAAATGACATTGGACTCAACCTTTCTTGTAGAATTTGAACCCTTCAAAGCAATTATTGAAAGGTCAAATAGGTACGATAGTCATCTAAACAAAACAATATCATCCATCAGAATATTAGTAGAAAAGAATTCCTAAAACCGTTTGGTAGTGTCCACATAGAAGTCACTTGTAGTTGTAAGAAACTTCGTTAGATGCCTTACAAACAGTACTAGTAAAATATGATCAGGCAACTTTGTTCATTTAGATATATGTTGATTTAAGTGGGGTGCATACAAGCCTTTTTAAAGATGTAAGTCTGGCTACTTAAAAACTTACCAAAAATCTCAAACAACTTTTACTTGATGGATTTTTGTTATGTTCTACTGTCAACCATTAGATGTACAGAAAGTCCCTCATAGAATGCATTTGATAACGTTATTAAAATACAATGTGGACAATATGAAACCTATAGCCATACAAGCGGAGCAATAATTTCTTTTTGTAGTTTTACAATAAACAAACAAGATACAACTGTTTGCTGACATATAAGATATTATTAGAAATGTGAAAGTCTTGCCGTTATCTGTTTAAAAGGTTGACAATTTTGTGTTCAAGTGTGATGTTTTGCTAAGTGATAACTGTTTTGTACACTAATGCTCGCCTTATTTTGATCCCAATAAAATAACTTCACGTGTGTTTATAATCTAATTTCTTAATCGAGTGTCGTTTTATTTTTACGTTCTGGACATATCTAGGAATTTTTAGTGAGTAAATGAGATTAAATACTACTATTCATCACAAATGTTACTTGTCAAAAAGCATGCGAATTCAACTATGTGAGAAGACTGTTCATTTTATGTTATAAAGTACGTTGTGTTACACTTGATTTGTTTGGCTTTAAAGAGAGCTCAAATACTGTTTACTGAAACAACCAGACTAATCCAAAATCTCAATTGATCCTGATAAAGTTTTTTCATAATTTACTGAAATCGTTATACATTAGTTTCATCTTCAGGTGACTGACTTGCTAAAATCGAAGACTGAAGTTAAAATGGAAACAACTTGGAAAATAAATTTTTCACCTCGCTAAACAAACTTGGACACGTATTACAGATATGCTTTTTATCATTGTGCTAATAATGACATCAATGTTACGACACTCAGTTTGAATAACCTAAAGATCGTATATCAGAGAAGAAAAGCAGGATCGGAAATATTGTTCGTTTGTATGATACAGACTTGATGGATTGCGAGAAAAGGTAATCACAGAGAGATGGATGGGTAAAATATTAAACTATAATCATCAACACAATCATACGTAATGACTCTCAACGGTACTTTGATTTTTTCAGGTAAACTATTGAACTCTGAGAGGTTTTGTGTTTTAATTTTTGCTGTTAAGAAATGAGCCAGAAAATGTGCTATAGTAATTCTTACTCAATCATGATGATTTATTACCCATGTCACTCATAAATATCAGAAACTGAACTGTAAAGGGACTATAAATACTAAGTAAGATTTTCAATCTTATACTCTCTTGTTCACATTTACATTTCTCTATGCAATTATAAGGTCCTTTAACCTATTTACCTCGAATTTTTCATACCTTAAACAGCTTATATCTGCTTAATTTCAAAATTTACGATGAAGGCAAAATTAATTACCCAACACTGTAAAGACATGTTCGTTTTGACACATTTAGTGAAAGTAGGAACAAAACTCTAATTATCCTAAAAGTTTTCTTCCAAAATCAGAGTTCTTGATAGTATACATCGTCGTTAAGATATCGTAAATTACGGATTTCAATCATAAGTTCAAATTTAGTGAAATTAATCCAAGCGGTGTGGTATTATTCAGTGTGAAGAATTATATACTACTGTTGACCATTCGATTAAACTCAAAATGTATCATAAAATCTTAAAATCAAACACACAGACATTAAGTAAAACCCTGGTTCATTATTTTTCTGTTACTAGATAAATTACCAAACTTTTGAAGGCACAAATTGATGAATTAGCATCCACCTACATTGAATATCCTATTTTTGTTTCTCTTATGTTTGTATTTTAATGTGTTGTGGGGAAGCCAAAAATAAATATTTATATCTAAGACATATCTGTATTTTAAACCAACAACTTAAAGTATGAATCTGATCTACTCACTGCTAGTGCTTTATAGTAATTAAAATTTAGGATTTACTAAACTTAAGGTTTAGTACCAAGAGTATTGGTCATGATACGAAATAGCGACGCCTTAAGACCTTTATATTGAAAGGAATGAAGCAGTTACAAAAATTAGTGATTCGGTTTCTTTTCAGGCTTATAAAATAAGTACAAAACATGTGTAAGATATATTTGAGCATTTAAACAGGACGTTTTGAAATGCGGTCTGTTTTTATTTTGTACTGATATCCTTCTTGATTTCTTTTTCTAATAATTCCTCGATAAAAGAATATAGTGAATTAAATGATGGCCTTTTATCTGGTGAAATATTCCAACATTCAAGCAATTTGTTGTAAATATTAATAGGACACATAAAAGTTTCCACACTTTTTCGTTTGGGAACCTCGTACTCATCATCTACAGGTAGAAGAGTTTCTGTGAAGGATATTTTCAATATGGGACGAGGTAATCTGTAACCTGAACACACGCGTACTTTGACTTCATTGACAGTGAATTCTGAAATTGTGGTGAAAATGGAATAAAGATTAAATACTATGAAATACCGAATAACCATATGAACCAATAAGGAATAAAATAAATAACTGTTAATAGCTAAGAGTAAAATTCTTTGTGTAAATCCTAGCAATTGTGTGATGCTTTTTATTTTAGTGTTTAAATAAAAATGATCGCCTACAGATTTTAGGGGGATATAAAAGCCATACTGCTATCCAGTTATTCACTCTTGAGAGTCAATAAACTTTCTATTTTAATAGTCTTTTAAGTAAGGTTTTGTGCTAAATCATCTCACCAAGTTTATAAGACAATGTTACCAAGGTTTTGATTCACACCATCCTTATCATTAATATGGTAAGTTTTCTTGAGAATAATTACCGAAATTCCTCTGTATTTATGGCCAAATTCTTTTCTCAAACAGTTCCACATGACAAGATTTATTCACCAACCAAGTTCAGACAATCGGTTCTCTTTTAAACCATAAGCACGATTATAATTTAGTGAGCTTATAGTTCAGACTATATGCAGCACCTAATTACATGACGCATAATTCTATTCAGGCCTTCTAAAGAGGACAATTTTCAGTTATTGAAGCATTTTGTAAAGACACTAGTGCCTATGATATTGGGAATAGTGTGTGTATGTGTGCCAATAAAATCTGTGTTATTTATGCGGTGGTCTTGATTACTAATCTAAACAGGTGCAAGAATGATAATGAATCACTTGCTTATTACTAGCTTTTTCTTTGTGTAAATTAGTTAATAACGTTATAGGATTTTAGAATGTGAATTACATTTGTGCAAATGTATAAATTATCAGATAAGAAAGGTTTTCTTATTAGTTATCGGCAAAACTTGGTTAACCTTTTAATACATAAAACGACGACAAACCATCACGATACCAAAAATCACATTGATTTTCATCGTATTTGCACGTAAAGTTGCTTTCCTCTGTCCCTAGTGAATGAATAACCACATCATTTAAGAAATAAATATGCATGACAGTTAGTCTAATTAAGTGATCAGCAAAATGTACTGGGTTATACGAAATTTTTTTCTGTTAGCTTTATCCTTAGTTTATGGTTTATGCAACAATAGGTCATTTAATGGAGACGTAAATTCCAAATTATCAGCAACTTACTCAAACGAAAGCGGTAGTTGGCACAAAGAAAATATGCTGCAACACATATGAAAGTAGTGAGTTTTCCTCCTTAGATTTTATAAAGTTCAAATAAAACCAAAGTAAATACTAAGAAAACAGTGAATTCCACAGAAATCGTTACAATTTAATCAGTAAGTTTAATTTATCAGTAGTAGCCCGGAGTCGGACAAGGCTGCTCACTCTCACCCTTTTTCTTTTTTCTAGTGGTTGACAGAATTATGAAAACCTCGACATCTGGGGGAAATCACGGAATACAATGGACTACTTGGATGCAACTAGACGATTTTGACTTCGCAGATGACCTAACCTTTCTATCCCATGCACACACACTCACACACCAACAAATGCAGCTAAAGACAACCAGTGTAGCAGAAGCCTCTTCATCAGTAGGTTTCAACATACACAAGGGAAAAAGAAAGATCCTCAAATACAACATGGAGAACACCAATCCAATCACACCTCAGGAAGAAAGTCTGGAAGAGGTAGAAATTTTCACATAAAGTACCTAGACAGCATCATCGATGAACAAGTGTGATCCGATGCAGATGTGAACGTGAGGATTGGCAAATCAAGAGTCACATCTATTCTTCTACAGTTAAGGAATATATGGAACTCAGAACAACTGTCCGTCATCCAACATTAAAGTCAGAATCTTCAATACGAACGTCAACACGGTTCCACTGTACGGAACTGAAACTTCGAGAACTACCACAACCATCATCAAAAACGAACAACTATTTGTAAACAATTGTCTACTCGAGACACTGAATATTCGTTGATTGGATACCATCAGCAACAGTCTACTGTGAGAGAGAGGAAATCAGGAAAAGACGTTTGACGTGGATAGGATATGTATTACGGAAATCACCAAACTGCATCACAAGGCAAGTACTAACTTGAGACCGTGAAGGGAAACTGAAAAGTGGAAGGCTGAATAAAACTCTGCGTCTGGAATCGGGAGGAGACATGAAAAGTATGAATAGAAACTGGGAAGAACTGGAAAGGATTGTCGAGTACAAAATTGTATGAAGAATGCTGATGCGAAATGTATGCTTCTTCACGAGGGGTAACAGGCGTAATTAGGTAAGTAAGCAGTAGCTCTCCAATTATATTGGGCCGGTTTATGCTTATTAGGCTATAGGGATTCATCAAATATTCTTCCGGGACTAGGAGGAAAAAATCATAATTATTTTGTAAAATTACCCCAGTGTTTATGGTGGATATTGGATAGAAATTTCAGTAATGAAATATTTAAATGAAGGTAAGTAATTTATCATAAGGATACTCAGTGATCAGTAGTAAAATTACTTTCAATACAGGCTTGGAGACGATGTTCGTCAGTGGATAAATCAAGTGATTTTGATTAGTCTAAAGAAGTATATTGACTGTTTCACTCATTTAGTTAAAATCCCTGTTCATATATTGTTGCTAGTATTTAGCGGCACTTGAATTCCACATGTGATATATGAGTGAACATTATAACTATGCTACTTCTAGTATCATTTCAACCATAACTCTTAACACCATTAAGATTTACAGAAAGTCGGAATACTGAGGTTTAAAAATAGACGTTATATCTTAGTTTGTACTCTAGAATCTTAACACCTGTTTACAAACCTGGACAGTAAAAGATTAGTGCATCATACTACTGTTCAGATTATTTATTCAGCTAAGATATATTCAACTGATCCATTGTTTATTTCAAACGAAAATACGATTTATTTCTGCCAAAGTAATTAACAAGTTCTTATGGTTTATTTTTTAATAATTGAACTAAATATATTGTAAATTTTTCTATATGAAATATTAACTAAAATTACTTGTTATCTTGATAACCACTTATGAATAACCTCCGTCATTGAATGTTACCGAGAAAGCTATATAGGTACTTTAAGTTTTCATTTGTTTAAGAAAAGGTTTAGTGTCATTTGGTTAATATACAACAAAATGATGTACCACATGCAAAGTACACCTTATTACCATTACTTAAGGTTCTAAAGCGAATAAATCTTTACCATTTCTAAAGCAAACGTCCCGGATAAACTGAGCATCTGCTTATGATTGTCATATTGTAAAGTAGGATTTACCTACAATACACCGAATGTAGATGTTCACCACGAACACAACTGATTAAAAAAAAATAGCAGATATGTGTTTTTTGAATATAATATTTAATAAGCCGATTAGTATTATTACTATCAAAGATTTTTAGCAGTGTATAGTTTATTGAATGATGATATAATGAAGATGAATGGTGAGTCTCATTTGACTGAAAACTCGACTAAATACCAAGTATGTCATCACACTTAAATTGTTTGTCTTACTTTGACGTAAATTGCAGTAAACATTGTCAGGTTTGCCAGATTGTACATATAATGTGTTGAATTTGGGATTACTGTATCGAAATCGATCACTGAATCCCATGAAACTAATGAGTTGGAAATTTTGGTTGTATATGGCCTAATTTATTAACTTAACCCTTCGCAGTCTAATGTGTTTCCTTTATCGCCCAATTTCCTAGTTAACTTGGGAATTCAGAGATGGCATTCAATATTGTGTTCAAAACTTCTGTAGTTTGAGTTTTTACGCAATCTTAAGGATCCCATTTACACATAAACCGTTTCATATATTATTATAACTAATCAAATTCTGTGCAGAGTGACAAAGCTAGTATTTTGAGTGTGAATATATTTTACGCCATATTATTGTTAGAAATACAAAGGACTTTTGTTTTAGGTTACATAAGAGTAAGAAAGCTAATAAACACTAACCGACCTTTGTAGGGTAATTCACAGAAGGTTAATATTTCATGAACCAGTATCCCAAATGACCACACATCTGATTTTGTTGAATAAGCTTGCTTTAAAATCCCTTCTGGGGCCGTCCATCGTACGGGATATTTGGTTTCTTATGGTTTGTGATTTTTGTTGTGCATTTCGGTAAGGATGACAGACAAATAGAAAAAGTCATTTCATTATTAAAACAATAGTTACTGAAAAAAACTTAATGGTTGAATTACAAAGTAATTACTTAACAACATTAATATTGGAAGCAGAGATAGGTGTCAGCTAGCAGTGGAATCCGAGACTTGAGTTTCATTTTTTTCGGGATTTTTCAACTGGATGTACCTGTATTCCAGAGTTGGATTCGACTGCTAGCCACCATCTCTGTTTATAATTCTTGTGGCTTAATACCAAGGTTAAGGCAATAGGTACAGGATGCACATATCGCGGATGAGACTGATCAGTTGCAATGCTAAAAGTCAATAAAGAAGTTCGAAAACCTAATGTTGTTTCAAGTAAACAAAGAATCAAAACATCAGCCAGTCTGAAAAAACTACTTTGTTGTAGTCTACTAAAATAATGGTTTTAATATTGATCAATTCCTGTCAGACGTACGTATTCATGCTTTTTTTCTAAGTATGTTATAGTCTGAAGCTCAAGCAAGCTTAATGACTGGTGATTCTAGTGGATTATTTTTCCAGCTGTTCAGACTGCTGGTGTAATCACCCATATATACGTTTCGAGAGGAGTTTTGATTTTAAAGGTTTTTAAATAAGATTTAAGGGCGGAAAGTCAAAAACGGGTAGATTTTAGTTTTTGTAATGCTTCCCTATCAGATGATCTTCAGTCATATTTTAGGAGAGAATCGTTCAATGACAAATATATCAAGGAAGTTTTAAACTACTTAAGTGAGAACATTTGAAAAGTGATAGAAAAATCTATCTAAGAGCTGCACATGATAAAATAAGCAATAGAACTTAGTTTCATGTCTCATCTCGAAAAAATTTATGACTGGGAGGAGATACACACATTAAAACAAAAAAGCTATCTTTCTTCCTTTGATATGATAACAAACTGGACAAGTGCCAAGTCGAATTTAAATATTGCCTTCTGATGGCTTTTTTGGGAAAAAATCTATTGTACTAGTCTGGTGGCAAAATTTTATTTCAAGTAATAAATTGTTAAAGTAAGGTGGTCGAAGTCTATTAGTTTATGGATGAATATACATGGTATCACTCAGGAATACTGTTAAAACTGTGTATTCTAAATCATTTTAGAATGATTATTCATAAGCAGTAAAAACACACGTTTGATCTGCAGTTTAGTAATTTATTACTTTATCACTGAAAAAAATACCATATATGTTTGAAGTTTTTCTTAATAAGATCGGAATCACTAATGCTTACCATAACTGATATTCATGACATTATATTTGCTTAGTTTATTTAAACTTCGTTTAGTTGTTTAGTTTGAATTAACACAAGTATTGACATCAGGGTCATAGTCTTAACATCAAAGGTATCATGTGATACGTATGATCAAACACAATTTTTAAAACACTTATTTGGAATATAGACTGCGTTCAAAATACTATCATATATAAACAATGAAGTGAAATCAGGTGTTATAGTCTAACTTACCCAGCGTTCCAATGTATTCGTCTGAATCACTAAGCAAATGAGCCAAACCGAAATCTGCCACCTTAAGTCTATTTTTACTGTCAACTAAAATGTTACTGGCTCTTAGATCCCGATGAACATAATGCTGTTCCTCCAAATGCACCATTCCTCCGACAACCTTGTATTAAGAAAAAAAACAGAGGTGTTCAAAACCTACTTATTGTACTTTGTGTATGAGACTATAGAGAATGTTGAATCGGTAGGTTTACATCATAGCTGTCCAGTGCTTCTTGGTTCTCATTGGTTGTCTAAGTCCGTGATACTAAACCTAATTATGATAATTTAAATGTATTAGCAAAGATAGTCACTTGCAAATAGGATAAGCGTTCACAAAAATCTCTGTAGACCTAAATTAACGTTTATTTCAATAAAATCTTTGAAGATAATGCCAGTTTGCCAGTTTACGTTACATGAAACAAATCATACCTACTAGTTAACAATTTTTTGGCATTTTAGTATAAACAGCTTGGCAGCATTTCTAAGTGTCTTGTAGTTTTACTCAAACCAAACTTTCAGACGTAAACCTATGTCGTGAACATGACATTGTCAGTTTTAGACGTAATTTGTTTTCATAGAAATATGATTGTAAAATGGTGAAACGGAAGTCAACGGGATTATTTGAAATATCAGTACCACACTTCAGAGATGGGCAGCGTCAGTCGTTCATGAATATTACATATGCATATAATAAGAAATGTATAGAACATTAACTGATAAATTATTACTTATCTTTGTTTAGATTTCGATACCTCCATTTTATAAATCTTTGTTCATAAGAGTTGATTTTCATTCAGTTTTTGGCTGAGCTATTTCAGATAATATCTCTATCAACCAACAGTATTATAGTGATTTAAGGTGACTAAAAGGTCAAAGAAACAGAAACACGACTAGCGAAACATTCACTACATAAAAATTTTGCTAATTTTAAATTGAATTTGCTCTCATAATTTTTATTCTTGGATCGTTAACTTCAACTGATTATTTTGGAATAGAAGTAACTTCACATATTACTCTACGGAGCGTCTTTAAGAGATTGTATGATATATTGCCTAAAAGAGTGTTTTTTGCTGGTGAAAAGGATTGAGACTGAACATTTATTCCACTTAGAAAACTCACATCTTTCATCATTTCAAGTAGATTCTTCATTCTGATTTCTACAGGATTAAGCTTCTGCATATACTGTTTCAAAGATCCATTTTCCATTAGTTCACTTATAATGTAAGTTGGTTCATTAGTAGGAAGTGTGCATACAGCCAAAATTCTGACTACATTCGGATGATTCAGTCGGTGCATAAGTTCAGCTTCATTCAGAAATCTTGCATGATTCATGTTACCATTCCCAAGTAATTTTTTTATCGCTACGGGCATTTGATTATTCCACGTTCCATACCATACTTCACCAAAACTTCCTTGTCCAAGTTTTTTAATGAATCCAAAGTTATTTCGATTTACTTCTAGCAAAGATAATTTTGTTGGTGGCTCGTAATTTTTCGGATATGGTGTAGTTAAGCAGCAGGCGATTCCATCGGCATTTACTTTATAAGACAAAACGTTGGTTATTACAGCCAAGAAGTAATTAGGATAGCTGATATATAATTGTGACGAGTAGAAACAAAAAATTTACTTACGTTAAACACACGATAACTTCAACAATTTTCCATGATGAATAATAAATGTGAATAATTCTACATTTTCTATAGAAATTGGAGTGAATCCATGATATTCACAAGTTATTACATTTGAAGAAACTAAACCGATAAATTGGAAACTATTTACATAGCGGTCTACAAACAAATCATTATTTCTAATAGAGGTTACAGTTAGCAAGAAAGAGTGGATAGGGTGTAACAAGTTGAACATCATCCCCATTTCCTTTTTCTTAACGAACCGAATCAGACGATATTTTATAATGCGTTTTATCGTTACTTCTGTATTTTGAGACCAACGACCGTAATTTCATTAAGATATATATGAAGTGATCTGAATACATTGATTAAACATAGTGATTTGCTAATAGTTAATAACAGTAGATCCTTTTTTCGAATGTGTGTATTTAATAACAGAGAATAATATCGTGTAGGTTTGCTCATTTTTCAAGGCACAATAACAAACAATAAACACTATGAAATGCATGACTGGAATTTGATAGCGAACTGGAATTAATTCACAAAAGCGATTTTACTATCACAGAAGGAATTCCATATTTTTTTTAAAAAAAACTAGCAGTTTTCGTTAAGTATAGTAAAAACGTGATTTGATGATAAGCAAAATATTATGAATTATCGAACATGAATTTACATGGGTTGTGAACCACATTTTGTTAATCCTAAAGATATTTTCAGTTGAAAAAGACTTCGACGGATTATAGCTGTTTATGTCATTGGAGAAATTCGACATAGATTATGTTTTCGATCGTCGTTTCTGGAAATTTGTAGCATACTGACACGGCTGTATTCTGGAACCCCTTTATTCACCTAAAAGCTTGATGCTATCTATTTGAAAGTTGATATTTTATTGAACAAATTGTTTTATTTACACCTCACTTTCATAAAAAAATATTTCCTGAACCTGAAGTTCATCTAAGTAGCTGATGGAGTGCAAATGTAGCAAAAGAAGCAACTTAAAGTTTTCATTTTATTTGGGTTCTTATAACAATGTTAATGAACTTTATTAGAAAATTTAATTGTCTAACCTTTATTTCCGATTGTTACATAATTAACTATGACTACTTTATTTCCGATGTTTTGTGAATAGGAACATAATTGTCCGTGATTTACCTGTATAGTGTGCCACCAGTTGATCAATAGTCGGAAATGAAATGCGGCGGAATATATGATATTTTTCTTCTTTCAATCTAAATCTTATTCGGTAATGCTTCACTGACCAAATCAGTGTCGATTGGTCCAAATACCGTACTGATAGAGCGAATGTCTCATCTGAATCTAAAAGTCATATAGAAAACGCCAATAAATTTCATTTGGTTTAACTGCAGATGCCAGTTTGGAGTCATTCATAAACGTACTAACTATAACATCGAAAGTAAAACAACGTTTACCAGTGGGAAGTATCAGTTATCGATATCTAGTCAGTTATTGTTGGAAAAATTTCCAGTTCTCGATTTATTTTATCTTTTCAATTCAAGTCATGACAAATATTAGTTAAATTTAACTTTGGAACTAACAAGATGCCGATTCATGAAACTCTTCTGTTTGTATTTCTATTTAAATAGAATAAAGTACATTCGATATTTCGTATGTTCGATATTTCGTCTGAACTAGCATTTACGTGGTTTAAGGTTGTATCAGAAAAACTAAGATCGTTTACACGTTACTTAATATAGTAAGAACTAATGTATACATAAGCAAGTGGAGAAAATAACCCCTTTTACAATCTGTTGAAATACTACTAATACAGAATTATCTAAATTAATAATAGGATTATGCAAAGCAGTATACAGTGTATTATGTGTAAGTGAACTAATTATCTGTTTGCTACAGAGATGCTAATTATTTCAATACTAGTTTTTCCAGTTAACTGTATTTAATTGTTATAAAAATTGTGGTGGTTTGTCTGTACAACTTTAAATCAGAAACCAGGACCTACCATTATTTCCAAGACTTTAATTAATAAAATATAAGATACTAACAAATAAGTCCGTTATAATTATAACGACAAATGCAGTTAAGGAAACGTGTTTACACTTGCTATCATAAATAAAATTAAATGGTTATGTTACATTCTAGAGTACCGAATGATTAAGTGTACAATTAGTGAACCTAAATGAATAACTCTGGGGAACGGTACATACGATTCCCTGTTACATATAATTACTTTTCGCAATCATCTTAATTACATGCTGCTAAAAGCATTTCAGCTAATGCCCCACAACTGGTTTTTACGTCTGCACCCCTAAAATATACATCAAGATGGCTGAGTAACAGATCAGTTGTCCTAATGCCCTGATTTGATGAAAATCGTCTTGAAGTCTTCAATCTTCAAGGTCGTCATCATGAACAGATGGCTTAGCTGATACTTTGGTATATAAATAATCTGTTACCTATAATATACGTATATTGTCAGGTAGTTATGCTACATTTACTTAGATTGATATGTATTTGAAAATCATAAATATTTATCGACGTTAATTAATTATGAAAACTGAAAGAATATTTGCGTTGCCGACTCAATAAAAATTAATTACCTGAAGATGGACGTATAATATATGTTCCCGACGGGTTACCCATTAGAAGCAGTAATCTTTCTGCTTCATTTCTGTCAATATCAAACCAGGAAATGTGGGTGGTTAAAGAATCACCAATAATTTGCAAATATTCTCCTGGCACCAATCCTTTCCGTGAACAGTGGTTAGACATATGCTTTAGCTCAATTCTTTCAACTAGCCAGAAATCTTCATCCTTTGTTAATGAGCTTGATCTACCTTCAATTATATTACGTGGAGCCGACACGCGATTAAGTATCAGTAACCTTTCTCCTTCTGAAACATTTAATTCATGAGGGTATGTTTGAGAGTACGTCATTTTGGCTACGGCTACAAGTGGTTGGACTCGCCTTTGTTCGCCCGAAAGCTTTCGATAATTTGAAATGCTATATGTTGAATCGCCGCTCAAGTTCTGTTTATTTTTGTCGTATAACCATTCTTCATAAAAGGGTAGTACAGGTTCCATTTGATTTTTGTTCAGAGAACATTTAGACATAATGGAAGGGCTAGAATTTATTTCAGTAATTTGTGCACTTTCAGTAATTTTCTCTTTTCTTGGATAAACCAAGTTTATTAGTGGGATTGTCTTTCCATAAACGTTTTCACTGGTTATACTTTTTAATTCCAATCCAGGTGATGACTTTTTTGAGTCGTTCTTTTTGACGTCACAATATAAGTATAAACTTTTTAAATGACTGTCTATTGAACAGCTTTCCATCCCACTGTCCTCGTTTGTAATACCTCTTGCTTTATCAGAATTTCGTTTTACTTCCACATTTGTAATATTTTCGGCAGTATAAGGTAATAGTTTTTGAGTTTCGCTTGGGGTATCTAGTTCTCTGCTCATGGATGGAGTCGTAAATAGTTCCAACACTGGTCGCGCAAGCTGCGAATTCCACTTCATGTCCTGTTTAACTAAAACTGAAGATACGTTTATTTTACCAGTGTTTTGTGAAAATAGCCCGTTACTTCCAAGTGAATCAGGGTGAAAATCACCATTACTTGAGTTATTGTGGTGTGTCTGGCGTGAGAATATTCGTGTGAGTAGGGGAAGTTTTATATCAGAATCCATTTCGTTTAGGCCGAAATCATTGGGACTACTTCCATAATCCATTGTCTCACATGTGTTGCATTGCGAAATTCCAGAACTATCTCTTAGTTTATCCGATTGGGGTGCGTGAACCATGTCGTTCAGATCGATACCAGATGGAATACAATTACCCATTTCCATAAATACACATCACTTGATCAAGGGACTTCTAGTTGGTATGTACTGAATAATATTTTAGTAAGTAGCATCAAAAATTTCTTATCTATTCATGATCAAGCTCAACAGATAAGTAATTGTTGTGCTATGCAATAAAAGTTTAAATATTTGGCCTTGTATCTATATCAACCAACCAGGAAGATTGAATTTTACGCCTGATTTTTGTGATACATAAAACACATCAACAAAATGCATGTCAGTATTTTTATCACCACAGTTGAGTCTATTGGTATAATATGAATATATGCCTTAATTGAGTGATATTTTATTACAATCAAATCAATAACCATGAATTTAAAAAAAAAATTGTAGCTAGATAGTGTACACTTGAGGATTATATCAACAAGCTTCTAATAAATATTTGTGATATTACGAAGCTATGAAGATTAAATTCAATTGATATTGCTTACTTGAATCTTCCCATTGATGTTTTGGACTGGATTTGATCAGTCTCTTATTGGTATATGTGCGTATTGCCTCGATATAGCCTTAATTCACAAGCATGGTAAGCAAAGATGGATAGTGGCTAGCAGTGGAATCCAGGACGCGCGTTTCGTCCTATTTGGGACTCGTCAGCTGGATGTACCTGCATCTCAGAGTTGATGTTCACTCTGAGACTCGAACCCAGTATCTTTCGCTTCAAACGCCATCGCGTTATCCACTCGGCCACTGAGTCCTGATAGCCACTTGCTTGTGCAATGGGGTGAAGTTTAATTCACTTGATATTGTTTTATTTGAATCTTCCCATTGATGTTTTGGACTGGATTTGATCAGTCTCTTATTGGTATATATGCGTATTGCCTCGATATTGTCTTAATTCACAAGCATTGTAAGCAAAGATGGATAGTGGCTAGTAATGGAATCCAGGACGCGCGTTTCGTCCTGTTTGGGACTCGTCAGCTGGATGTACCTGCATCTCAGAGTTGATGTTCACCCTGGGACTCGAACTCAGTACTGTTCGCTTCAAATGCCATAGCGTTATCTACTTAGCTACTGATTGCTTTTAGCCACTTGCTTTTGCAATGGGGTGAAGTTCAAATTCACTTGGTATTATTTACTTGAATGTTTAGGACGGCAATTGATCAGTGAACATCAACTCTAAGATGCAGGTACGCCCGGCTGACGAGTTCCAAATGGGATGAAACGCGCTTTGTCCTAGATTCCACTGCTAACCACTATCCATCTTTGCCTTTGAATCTACAAAGAGTTATAAATAGCCCCTTGTATTATATGTCCCAAATAGTTTATGGAAACGTCAACGAAAACAATATATTTCCGACAAAATATTTTGAATATCCATGTAAGAGTAAGACCACAGTAGTATTTGGCTAAATACCAATTCGGCATTATAAATTATGTCAATTTGTTATGAAAACATTAAACCTAATTACCAACTCCAACGTTCAACTGTAAATCTTAATTCCTTGCACCAATTTATAACCATCATTTAACAATACTAAGTAGGTGGATATTTTTAAGGTCATTTTAGCGTTGCTCAAATGTCGTCCATAAATTATAGTCTCTTCCAGATATCGTGTCTGCTCATTTATAGGGCAAATCAGCTGTCATTGACTGAAGGCAGTAAATTTTATTTTATCGGTTAATTTTCATGTAATTACTTTAAAATAAGCTACTTAGTGAGCGAATACGCATTTATGAGTAGTGTATAAATGACTTTCTATGTCATTCAGTAAATCTGGGGCATTTACACTAGGCGTTTTGAGCTATTCTGTTAAGAGATAATAATTGATAACTTTAAAAACCCGTAAAGCTCATAACATATAAGTATAACTTGGAACAGGTATTTAATTTGACAATGATAATGCGCGGGAATCAGACACGACTGACGGGAAACATCTTAATCAAGCACTTACAAAGATCAATATATCATTGTTATTTTGGAAAGAAATGGCACATTCATATGATTTCCTTCAAACAAGAAGGAAATTCATGAAGTATATTTATATTTGTGTGAGATTAATGTCTTCGTTAGACGTTATCACAATGTTTTTTAAAGTTCTGTGCCACAAAGTGATATTTAAAACCCGTGACATACAATAAAAGTTTTCCGGTAGTAAATATTAAATTCAATCATAATAAGGCTAAACAGTGCTCGAATCAAGCAGATTGACGATAAATAATCCTTACGTATTACATTTATCAGGTAGATACATCAAAGTAGCTATATGGGTTATTGTGTGTATTATCATTCAAAGCACCATCTGGAAACATGTGATGAGCATTCCCTTTATTTATTAAGTATAAATTCAAACACTAATGTTGGGTAAACAAAACATTTCAACTGAGGATTCAGTGTGGATCTCTACATTTCTATAAGCTGTGTTTGGTCATATCCTAAAAGGACAATATGAACATAATATCCATCACTAACCCTTTTGATTTTCTTTAAGCTTAAACAAGTTATTCTATTTTTAGAAATACAAAATCCCAAACAGTATCCTTTAGCTTATAGTTGCTATCACTTGAGATTTAGATGGTAGTTGGAGGTAGTCAACAGGAAACCCTGGACCCGGGTTTCGTGCTACTTGGCACTCGTCAGCAAGGTGTACCTGTAATCTTGAGGGAACTGGTGCCAAGTAGCACGAAACCCGGGTCCAGGGTTTCCTGTTGACTACCTCCAACTACCATCTAAATCTCAATACATAGTGCCCGCAGTGTCGAGTCACCTAGAGTGGTGGCCACATTGCAACATGATCGATAGCATTCGATCTGCACTAATAAGAACTAGACAAGCATGACATTGATCACCACCCAGTGATCAATCAATTGTGATTACATCTCAGACCTACAGGAGGTTAGTCACGGCTCGGATAGCTCAGTGGTAACGTATTTATGGTATCATTACCAAGGTTTGACTTGATAATTTCAAATAACTTGAGCATTGCTATTAATAAAAAGTAATATATTTCTAATATCGGAATGAGTAGAAACATTAGACTATCTGACGTTTCGTGACTCAATGTAAGCCACTTCTTCAGAGAATAAGTAACTTTAGATAAATATGAAGAGAGGGTTTTCCTGCTAAACAAAGTATTCATACAATGGAATTTCAAGTATTTCGAACTGATGGAATCAGTTTTTACTGAAAATTCCTTAGTTATATCATTATTCTATGAAATGAATTCATTAAACTAACAATTTCAAAAGCTAAGCCCTGATTTTTGTTCCCTAAAATTAATTATCTTTTTCCTCAAATGAAAACTGAAACTCTGTTGTTTGTTATAACGATGTTGAAGGTCAGTTAAAAACGAAAACAATACGTCATCATCAGAATGATTGGCTAGTCTTATCCATGAAATATTAAGCTATAAAATAGACATAAAAAGTGAAAAATATCTGATGTTTAATATTGATAAATATTCTTGAAAGTAAAAGTATAAGTGCTAATCGGAAACATTAGGGTTTGAAGATGTTATCCAGGGAGTATAATCCAGTGAAGTAAATTTGGAAAGAGTAAAAAAGAGGCATAAAGAATTCAGATTAGAATTTGGGGAAACATAGAGTGGATGCACCTGCGCTATCGCAAACGATTTTGAGCTATATCATTCAAGGTCTCTGATCATCGTTTGCTATCGTCTCACGGATTCCAACCAGGTCGTCTACACCTACCAACATGGCTCAGTCCACTTGTCAGTGACTTCATGGATTTATGCCATATTGTGGTCTGGCCGCCCCTAACCTTCCTCCAACCTACTCTTACATCATAAAATATCTCACGTCGGGGCAGTTGGTGGTTGGGCATACGTAACACGTGACCCAGCCATCTCGACTGATGAAGTTTCACTACTTCATCAATTGATTTGCCATCCTTATCTGTTACCCATGTCTTAACAATTGCATTTCTTACTCAGTGGTCTCAGGATGTACGAGCAATGCTTCGAAGACACCTATGATCAAATACTAGTAACTTACGAATATCCTCTACTCTTACTGGCCATGTTTCACTGCCATAAAGTAGGACGGAACAAACTGCTGCGCAGTAAACCCGTCCTTTGGTTGATGGACGGATATCTCTCTTACGCCATTAATGACGCAAGTTGGCGAAAGCTAATTGAGCCTTCTATATCCGTGCTGAGATTTCGTCACACACCAGACCACAAGGGCTGATAAGATTCCCAAGATAAGTGAAGCGGTCGACACCCTCAACTACTTCACTCCCTATCACTAGTTTAGGTGCCGATGCAACCCAATCCTGAAGCAACATTTTGCATTTCGAGTGGGTGGATCGCATGCCGAACATGCTTGCATTGTTGCTTACAGTGGTCAGAAGACTCTGCATTTTGTCAGCGTCTTCACCAAATAGAACTATGTCATCGGCATATTCTAAGTCGACAAGTGAATCTCCTGGTAGAAGTTCAACTGAAAATTTATATAAGGAAAGTGTTATCTCTAAAAACACGTCAAGGACAATGTCAAATAAGAATGGAGAGAGTGGACAGCCCTGACCAACACCACTTGATGTAATCAATTCTGGTGACGCAGCATACATCGATGGCACGAGATTCTAAAGTTCTAGCTAAGGAAGCTTGTTGTCCTATTTGGGACAGTATTTGGATTTTAAGAGCTTGTACATGTGGTTAAGATCGTGGTTTCAGGATATCGGGAATAACGTTTCGTGCACTCAAATCATTTGCATCTGCTGCGCGAGGTGATAAAGGAACGTGAGCAGGGTTAATCGTGGAGATAAGAGAGTTATTAGAAGGTGTAGGAATGATATAGTTGTGACCAACTCGCTCTCGTGTGCTGATACGAGTATGAGGGCTGATGTCACTTCCCGGGTGCCCACACCATGGAAGGGTATCTCTTGAGGAACCTGAAAAGGAAATTGGATTAATGTTGGTCTCAACGACCTAGGTGCGTGGCTACAGAGCCCAAAGGAAAACTGCTTGAGGTCAACCGCGAACGGCGTTTTTGTGGGACGTTTTTAACGCGTTAGCTCCGTTCTTCAAAGGGCGGTACCGCCGGAGACGGAAATCCGTGAGGTAAGGTGAGGTGTGACGTTTTAAGGGTTGACGTTTTCTAACCCCTTCCTTCCTTGCGAGAAGGTAGCATCACTGAAGATGCTGGTTGTCGGAGGGAAACACACGCTCTACAGT